CCCTAGGGCAGCAACAGCAAAAGCTCTGTGGGCCCTGGGGGTAGCCGGAAGGCCCTGATCAGAAGTCCTAAGTGTCCTGTCTGCTGAGTTTGGAATCAAAATATCACAGCCTGATTGAGGATGACTTAATAAAATGAGCAAAACACACACACACACACACACAAACATGTCAGGTAAACATATCTTTATGGGGACAGCTCATTCATTTCTATGGGGAAAATGCTAACGCGAACTATGATAACCTTACCCCCTACCCAGCCATAGCCATAAGTAACCAAGCAAAATCCAAGAGTTTTTTTTTTTTTGAGTTTTTCCATATGGTGGCCAGGGAACTGGTATTCATTACGTTGTGGGGACATTGTGTTCCCATAAGGTAAGGTATACCCACTCACACACACACAAACACACACACACACATAGGGACTCTCATATACAGGTAGATACATAGAGCCACTCCCATAGCCACTCCCATAGCCACTTCTAACCTCCTTAAACAACCCCATAACCCCATAAATTGGTGTTAAAAAAGAAAACAGCTACTAATTAGGACACAGATTACTGGAAGAACAGATGTTTGCCTAGAGACACATTGAAGCTTTGTCTGATTCTTATTCTCAGAACTCAATCTCAGCCCTCAGAGGTGAGTGTTTCTTTAATAGATAAGAGTCTGGCTTGAAATAGTGAAAGAGAATTTATCAGAGTGGTTTAATAAAAGAGTATTCTAGTTTTCAGTATGTAGAATATGGATCTATACAAAGGTGTTACATGTTCAAATGTGCAATTCTAAAATAAATTGACCATTAAAACCTAAATCTGAATCAGTAGCATTAAGTTATGGTTCAGAATAGCACTAGAATGTTCTGTGAAACATATCAGTCTGTTCATCTTCTATCCATTTATTCTGGTCGGAGTCACATGAGGGCCAGAGCCTGTCCCAGGCAGCACTGGCTACATGGCTGGGGGGGGTGGGTGACACCATGGATTGGATGGGACTCCCTCCACTGGGCACATACACAAACACAATCAGACACTGTGCGTGATTTAAAAACACCAATTAGTCTAAGTACACCCAATGCATCTCCAGTTAATTATCATTTTATTTAAGTATTATACCTGTAAGCTAATAACTATAAGTGACATCTATATTTGACATGACATTCATACAAATGAGGCTTGTAATTGAAGCTTTTTATACCTATATGTTTGTGTAAAAACTAAATGGCTTTCCATTCATTTAAGCGTTTAAAGCAGGGGTCTCTAACTCCGGTCCTGGAGAACTACTGTCCAGTAGGTTTTCTATCATACCTGGCTTCTGATGAGCCACACCTGTTCTCAGGTAAACACCAGGAACAGGTGTGGCTCATCCGATGCCAATTATAGTAGCTCTCCAGGACCAGAGTTAGAGACCCCTGGTTTAAAGTGTGTCACCAGCTTACTAAAGACATAAGAAGCTATTAGCGCAGCGGGTACGTACAGTAGTACAGTAAAAATTCTGCCTTTTAGTCTAAAGTCACTGAATATAAATGTAACATTTACAGCTACAATGTATGAAATATAATCACAGGTGCCTAAGTCACTGCAGAACAACATTAATTAATCCCAGCAGGAAGTGCCACTCATATACCTAAATATACCTCACTCTATCTATCTATCTATCTATCTATCTATCTATCTATCTATCTATCTATCTATCTAATATAAAGTGTCTTGTTGAGCGTCTCAACAAATGCCTCCTGTTAACCATGGGTTTGTGAACATTTTGACAGAGATACAGTTAGTCTTTACATTTGGAAGAGACACACCGAAAATGGCCAGGTCTCATTGGCTGTTCATCGCCGCTCTCTCTGCCATACTGTGTGGTGGGGTCCACACATTCAAGCCGTTCACATTCGACCAAAGGCAAATCTCTCACGGTGATATCACTGAGATGGCCATCCTGCGTAAGACGGCAGAGGTGTGCCGTGACCTGGCGCAGAAGGAGGGGAGACCCTTTAGCCTGACGGTGAGTTTACCATACAAAAACTGCAGTAGTTACAAGGGACTTTGGCTGAAGGACTCTGAAATAGTACTAGTTATGGTTAGGGTTGAACATTCAGCACACCTGTGAGTCAAATACAGACAATAATGAACAGAGTAATGATAAGTATGAAGTGACTACAAAATTCAGCATTCACACAATATTATGCAAAACAAATCTACATAGACCTGCCGAGTAAGAACAACCTGT